GTTCGCGAGTTTTCACTTTGGCTGGCAAAAAAGAATAGTTTCCTGGTAATAGATGTAGCGATTAGGACTGGGGAGATGGTGATATTTATATCCAAGTACAGACACCATCCCGGGCTCAGTGATCATATTCCCACATGAGATTCACAGCCAATAAAGTCCAGGCGCTTAGAATACACCCTACTAGTCTTGATCAAACCATCGGATAGCTTCTATCACTGTCTGCCAAGTGACTGTAATGCATGGATCTGTAGGGTATCAAGGGCATATGCAGCCCCAAAAAGTAACGGTTTTCTCTGCCACCAAACAGTGGGCTCTGCTTGTAGCTCACCCGTGTGATATGCGGGCATTCGTTGGGTGAGAGCCGTCCATTTGTCTAGCAAGGTATTATAAATAGTGTGACCGGGTAGTATATTCAATGCCCCGGGCGCTATTCTTATGCGTTCTATTGTACGGAGTAACTAACTCCCAATCATCGCGTTCGATATATATAGTTGTTGTTGGTTCGGCGCGTGGAACTTTCAGCAGCTCCCCGGCTGCTGAATAAGCGCCGGCCCGTCGCATCGCATGCTAGGTACCTCAGTTAACAGCCTTGGCATTTGGTGACAAAGCACAATGTGGGTCTAACCCGTTCCAGCGCTAAACCTTCTTTGTTCGACATCCGCATCAACTCAACCCCAGACCACAAGCGCCAGACTGACACAGAGAGGCCTCAACCAGCAAGCTGAACAAGTTGATTCTATCCCCCCCCCCCCCCCTCTTAACTGTCTTCTACTATACGAGTATACACTCTCCGTTCGTTATAGTTATGCAAGAAAAGTTGTCCTTGACGAGGGAGTACTGGGGTGTAAAACCCCCAGCCGGTGTGTATCTTCCAACAGCAGCTGAAATCTTGAAGATGTGCACTGCGGATGATAAACACCCGGCTGCACTCGCATTTCCCTCAGAAGCGCCGGTATTCTGGATTAAATATGGCTTTGCAGTGGAGTGGAACGAGGTCCTGGCCCAGGCCATGGCACATCGTGAACTCCTGAAACTACGCTCCCATGCTCGGGTACCAGCAATCTTTTATGCGTTAGAGGCGGGTAGAAAGGTATACATTGTCATGGAATATATCCCAGGACGGTCCGGGAGCCAGATCCTAGAAAGCTCCTCAGAACCCGCAGAAAGGGAGGCAGTCCACCGGCAGGTAGCTTTCATGGTCCAAGAACTTCTACGAATACCAATTTCACCCAATGCTCGTCCTGCTGCCATCGATGGAGGAAAATTTACACATCTCATCTTTCGTGATTACAGAGCTAGTCGACATTATCACAATGTAGATCAGCTCGAGCAACATTTCAATCTGGTACGCAGTATAATCTACGTTGAACGGAAAATCGGCTAAAATAAAATATACAGTTCATGAAAATGGCGAAACGCGAACCGAAAATCCAAGGACTATCCCGCGAGCCTCTGGTATTTAGCCACCCCGATATCTGGCCTGGCAACATAATTATTGGTGATGACGGCCGTACCACTATCATCGACTTTGCAGGGTCAAGCATCCTCCCTTCTAGCTTTGTCAAATATTCTCTCTCTTCATCAAAGAAAGATCGCGAGTACAATCTGATGACTTGGGTTGACTTGCCTTGCCCTGATGGGATTGATAACGTCAAGGCGTTATGGGCCATTTCAGACCCAATGATCATGGGTACAGCCTCCTTTGCGAGGGCGGGCTGGCGAGTGCCTGGGTATGGAAATCCAGTACCTGAACAAGTAGTTTCGTAGACACTGCAATTTCTTTCACCTTTTTTTCCCCTTCCCTTATTCTTAGTCTCTATTTCGATCGATATATTACAAGTTCACGCTGCGCTCATGGCTCTTGCGAATGGTTCGAACTAGAGTTTTGAGGGAGGTGATGGAAATCTTGCTATTCGTTCCCTACGCAATACTTATAATGAAAGAAATACCCAACAAACCTTTCTGTTATGCTCGGAGGAAATGCGGATTAAACAGCCCGCTACTATGCAGAATTTACTATCTCGCTGGCCTGTTTCCTCTTATCGGGCACTCGCTGCCTTATTTTCTACTCACTATTGTCCTAGGCATGAACGAGGTTGCATGTCTGCTTGATCAGGGTTTCAAAAGGCTCATCACGGGCCTCCATCCGCTTGCGACATATCAAACTCCGCACCAAACACGAGGCACCTGAAAGCATATGAGGATTCCGGGTACCTTAGGCTTTGTGTCAGAAAAAAACAATGTTGTTGAGTGATTTCGCTAGGCCGCGGGAACGATGTCGTGCTGAAACAGTGAATCAACCTGTGACCGGGAACATCCGTTCGTGAGATCCCTCCAAGGCTCCATTCCCCTTATTGCTGGAGCTATGCGAAACAGCATAGAGCAGAGCAAACTACACGTGAGTACAATTTATCTTCCTCGTGAGAAATGATCCACGTCAAACAGGACGGACGGGGAATGCTTTTGTGTACTCCATTCTGCCAGCGAAAGCAGCCAGCAAAACAAAGGAAGCAAGATCTCGAAGGGGATAGGCTGTCATATATGTCTAAATGACTGGGTCATCGACTACTTTCTCTTCTCCAGGAAAGGCGGATAATTTAAGAGGTAACTGGGTTTCACAAACGTTTAATTCTTCCGCCAGCCACATTCCATCATGTGCACAACCTTCAGCCAGTGCCGCGAGTTACACGAATTTCGAACCGGACCGAGCGAGGGCACCTGGAATGGCTCCGCTGATCAAAATGTGAAGATACTTCCTTATCTATACCCCGTGCCGGTAATATCTTAGATCTATGACCGTCAAATTTAATGCCTTCCTCCACAATTTGGTTATGAACTACGAGTCAAAATGATTCTTTATATATTGGATAGCCTGGACGCTTCTACACGTCTGTTGAACCGCTTTTTCCGCGACAAACTCTTGTTTTCCCATAAATTATTTATACCTGCCAGATGAAGATCCAATCACAGTGGTGAGCCAACAACAACTACCTCCCAACATGTACAAGGAGGAAGAATGTCGGCCGCTTCTTACCCCTGAGCCCAGCTCAGAATACCAGCCAGCGCCACGCACCAAGAAGGAGCTTCGCAATATTGAGAATGTAACAGTTCCCGAAACGGCGACATATGGCAGGAACATAACGTGCGGGGGCGCATATATCCTCGTTATGTCCCAGATGATTGGCTGTTCAATATTTGCGACTCCCGGCAGCGTTGTTCGGTCGTGTGGGAGTGTTGGCCTCACTCTCTTACTATGGCTTGTTAGTGCGACTGTCAGAGCTTGCGATCTTGGAATTTATACAGAATATGGCTGCATGTTACCACGTTCTGGTGCGGACAAGGTCTATCTAGAATTCACCTATCGTCGGCCGAGATTCCTTGCCTCAACCCTATTTGCAATTGCATCCGTTACCCTAGGTGTGTCAGCAACCAATTGCGTTGTCTTCGGCCAATATATGCTCTTTGCCTTGGGCATGGAACCAACAGTTGCCGCCCAAAGAGGGTTTGCGGTCGGCCTCTTAATCGCTGTATGCATAATCCATGGTTACTTCTACAAGCTCGGTATCCGGATTCAAAACTTTCTTGGATGGGTGATTTTGTCTATAGTTGGGTTCATGATATTCACGGGACTCTATGTTGTGCTTTTCCAGAAACGCCAAACCATCGCTGGGAAGCCTGAGCTATTCTCCTGGGATGGAATGTGGCAAGGCTCTAATTGGGACTTTGGCGTCCTTGCAACCTCTCTCTTACAGGTTTCTAGCTCGTTTTCTGGATTGTGTACGACGAATGTCGTTCTTAACGAGGTCCATAACCCAATCAGAACAGTCAAAGTCGTGGGGTTGATGGCGTTCGTGACTGTCTGCATCTTATATGCCCTCATTAATGTCTCCTACTTCATGGTTGTCCCGATCGAGGAGATCAAGAGCAGTGGACAGTTGGTTGCAGCATTATTTTTTGAGCGTGTGTTTGGCCCGGGGTTTGGTAAAACGGTTCTCCCTCTCCTTGTTGCCATATCGGCTGCTGGCAAGGTTATGGTCACTATCTTCTCATCCGTAAGTTATCTTCCGTATTAACTGTCTTCGTGTTTGATACCTTGCTGATTACTATGTTTAGGCCAGGGTAAACCAAGAAATAGCTAGACAAGGCTTCCTCCCTTTTTCTCGCTACCTTTCATCGTCAGAGCCGTTCAATACACCACTGGGAGGCGTAGTGGTCCACATGATCCCTACTTTGCTTACTATACTACTTCCACCACCAGGAGACATCTATAACTTCATCCTTGATGTTCAGGGATACCCGGGCGAGTTCTTTGGAATTGCCATAACATTTGGCATTATTCTACTTAGATGGAGACGGCCGGAACTCCAGAGGCCGTTCAGAACCTGGGTACCCAGTGTATGGCTGCGATTGGTGGTCGGCTTTTTACTGATTATTGCCCCATTCTTCCCTCCAAAGAACGGAAGGGGAGATGTTCATTTCTTCTACGCCACATATGCCATTGTTGGCGTAGGCATGTAAGTCTTCCGGTCTTGCCTCATTCTATTCAATCAGAGCAACCATACTAACAATGTTGACCAGAATTATACTGTCAATTGTCTACTGGTGGCTCTGGACGATTGTTATTCCAAATAGAAATGGTTACAGACTCGAGGAGGAAATTGAAATCCTTCCAGATGGAACAAGTATTACACGGCTGGTCCATGTCGGTAAACGGGAGTTACAGTCATAAATTAGGGGTTCAAGGGTTCTATCAATGTCTCTCGAGACTACGACGTTATGTGGTATCAATTCTTTCGGTCTGAATAAATATGAAAGTATGAAATAATGAACACCATAAAATATTTTCTAGAAAATAGTCATATGCTCGATCAATAGATACAAGGTCTACCACCAATTAATCAACCCTCTCCCTGTATGGTCTGTATAGGGATGTAAGCTTATTCAACTTGTATAAAGCAACCACAGGGAGCAGAGTGTATTAATAATAGCTAGAGTTGGATCTACATTTCATGTATGTAAGAACACAGACTGCCAAATTCTCTTATCCCTGAAGCCCCTTGGTGTGTTGCTCCTCTCAAAGGGCGGAAGTGGCCTTGCCCACCAAAACCTCCACATATAAATAGTGATTTGCTTAGTGTCTTTCTCTCACTTCTTCTTTTGCTCAACTACTTCTTCTTTTCTCCAAATAACCACACACAATCTTGAACAAAACACCTCCTTACACGCAAGAAAACAGCGTTTAGACCTTCAAGATGGGCAAAACTATCATCCTCACGGGTGCTTCTCGCGGTAAGACAGTCACCGCCATGTGAAGACGCGTGAGATCAGCCAGCCACTAACAAAGCTGTCCCGCACTGCAGGCATCGGCTTAGCTATCGCTAAGTATCTCTTGCAGGCGCCACATCGCTGCAATGTGGTTGTTGTTGCCCGCACTGAGGCCCCCTTGCTGGAGCTTAAGGAGCAGTATGGCACTCAGGTGCAGGTTGTCTGTGGTGATATCACCGACCCCCAGGTTGCCCATAAGGCCCTTGCCCAGGCTCTCTTGTCCTACAGCAAACTCGACGGCCTTGTTATCAATCACGGAGTTCTTCCCCCCGTCACCCGCCTCGACCAGTTCTGCCATCGAGAGTGGGTGAAGGCGTACGATATTAACTTCTTCAGCGCCGTGGAGCTTGTATGTTTTGATTCTACAGTTTCTATTCTCTCACTAGTCTGCTGTCTTTGCTAACCAACCAACCATTTTAACAGGTCAAGCAATGCATCCCGCATCTTCGCCTGGTTCGTGGCAGAGTCGTCTTCACTTCTTCCGGTGCTGCAACCGGACCCGTCAACGGCTGGGGCATGTACGGCTCCTCCAAGGCGGCGTTGAACCATCTCAACATGACTCTGGCCCACGAGGAGCCTGAAATTGTCTCTATTTCCATCCGCCCAGGCATGGTTGACACGGACATGCAGCACCACCTCCGCTGCCAGCATCTCGGTATCCTCGGCCCCAAGGACAGCGCTAAATTCGTCAAGGCCCATGAAGAGGGAAAGCTGTTGAAGCCCGAGCAGCCTGGCACCGTCATTGCCAAGCTTGTCATGAATGCAACTCATGATCTCAGCGGCAAATTCATCACGTTCGTCTTCCTTCCTACCGTAATAACGATCCGTGATTGCGTCTTCTTTTACTAACCGAGTCTATGCTACAGTTGGAACGACCCAATCCTGGCCAAGTACCAGGCATGAAACTTTAAACAAATTAACCTGCGTTCAGACATGAGACTGAATATCAGCACAGATACTTGAGGTAGGGAAAGACGGTTGGCAAGGAAATGTCATAGGAAAATAGAGATAGCTCAGGCGAAAGGTTAATAATGATACATGTTGTAATCATCAGATGCAAAGCACCTTAATATTTAGCATGGAGTGAATTTTTTTCTTCATTGCTATTGTGTGCGGCAGGCCTGGAAATAAGAGGGCTCAAGCAGATTACAACATACCATTGTAGTAGTTTAGCGAGGACTCAAAATAGCAAAGAGAAGATTCCTACGGAGTACAGATCAACGCTTCTCGAGGCGCGTGTCACTTCCATATCCATCAAAGTTCTCGAGTAATACAATTTCATTCTTGGGGATTTTCAGGAGCCATCTGAATACAGCGGGTAATCTAGGAGCTTTTGAACCAAGTTAGCCATGGAGTCCCTTCAACGATCGGTCAAGGGCTGGTAGGTGGAAGGTGTTTGTTTTGGCTCAGGAGTCCGTTTGGCTAGGACAGGTAAATCACCACAGAATTGTATGATAGGGGCGACAACAAAGTTCATCATTGGGATGGAGAGTGTATCAAGACGGAAGCAGGAGAAATACGTACCATTAACATTGTTAGCAGTGAATAATCTGCTGTAATTCTCGAGTATGAAGAATGAGGATGAAGAGAAGAAAAATTGAAGTTTCTAATTTTTTTTTTTATATTCCGATTTTTTTTTTTTTCGAGCAAAAATGGAAAAAAGAAGTTCCGAGATTGCTGAGTCATCTTCCGAGGGATCCTCGAAGTTAAAAAGAGCTTCAAAGGTTGGAGCCGAAGACGAAGAAAAAGAAGCAAAAGGACAAGAACAGAAGAGCGAAGATAACATTATACTGGAATAGCTGCCAGTTCTATCCCTTATTCTGTTGGTATTCGACTGCCTGTTGAACCTTTGCTACTCAGCGCCATGTCCGACAGGGAATTCGGAGGTAAGTAGCATGCGCGCGGAGCTCGACTGTGGGAGGGATGCGAACTGACTTGCGCCTGGCAGGAAACGATGACCTCTCCCTACCAAAAGGTACCATAAAGCTGTTCTCCGCAATATCAATGTTGACATGCTGCCTATACTGCTGAGAGAAACTGAAACACCGGCGGATTTTCAGCGGCCTATCTAGTCTGCAACGGATATGGACAATGCTAACCCCACTCTCCCATTAGCTACGGTGCAGAAGATTATAACGGAGATTTTGCCGCCCTCATCTGGCCAGACGTTTGCGAAGGATGCCCGAGACCTGCTCATCGAATGCTGCGTCGAGTTTATTACACTGATATCATCCGAGGCCAACGAGATCAGCGAGAAGGAGGCAAAGAAGACAATCGCCTGTGAACATATCGAAAAGGCACTCACGGACCTTGGTTTTGGAGACTATGTCCCTGATGTGCTTGCGATTGCCGAAGAGCATAAAGAGCAACTTAAGGTACGACTCAACGGTTCCAGATTACCGTAGAATCTGTTACTTCTTCGTGCTTGATATACATACCCCATGTTATAAAAAAAGAGAGAGAGAGAGAGAGAGAGAGAGAGAGAGAGAGACACTGACTGTTTTTGGCAGACTCGAGAGAAGCGGACAAATAAGATAGACCAGAGCGGCATGTCACACGAAGAGCTACTACGGCTCCAGCAAGAGCTCTTCCGCTCAGCTGGAGAAAAGTACAATTCGGGGAGCTAAGCGGTCTTTAACACCACCTGTCCCCTTAGCGCATGTTTATGATGCTTACGATATGCGATGAATCTCTTCTGGAGTTTAACGGGATATCTTCTTTTGGGGGTTGGTTCTGTGTTGCCTGGCGTCAGTTTATTACTACTGTTACTACTACTACGACCTTTTCATCCTACGCATTCGTTATACTTCCACCCTACCGCAAATTTTAATGATATATAGAGCATCAGCGAGAATATTCTTTTCTTGCATTATAAGATCCCGTCTCGCTACCAGCTCTAGTGATCTTTTTATTCCTTTCGCTTTCTCTTCCAACTTCTCGCGCGCGCGCAGTATATATCACGTGACACTTCTGCTGCCAAAATCCAAAAAGCTGAAGCTTCATAAAAAAAACGAACTCAAGGGAAATCAGCGAAACAGCTACAGAACCGGGAACATCCCGACAAAGCGCTTCTACTTGGTTTACTCGTCCTCTCACTGCTCGGACCCGGTCGCATAACGCTTCTCCAAACATTACGGCGCTCACTATCGGGCTCTGTTCACTGTCGGGTGTGTGAACCGCCGGTGCGACGCGGCGGAGAAGCTGCCCACCATGCCGCAATTCAGCAGTGATAACATCCTGGTACGCCGTTTTCGAAGAGCAAAGATTCATTTGTTATGCTGAGTACGGTCACTAACACGGCTAATTGATAGTTAATCTCGCCTGGGTCGCAAGTCACCCTCGCGCAGCTCGGACTGCCAGAGTCCTTTACCCCGGCTCGATTTCGTTTCCCGACGCGCATGTTCCCTGCCGAAAAAAAGGGAGAATGGGAGCCTCATAGGATACGGGCGCGGGTCGTCAAGGCCAGGAAAGTAGTATCACCAAAGCCGGTGGCACTAGCGACGGAGCCTTCTGTTCCCGCGAGCGATGAGGGAGCCGCTACTGCATCTGGTTCTACTGCGGAAGACAGCTCGAAGCAGGATGTCGAGATGAAGGATGTCGCCGATGACAAGGTGAAAGAGACTCCAGCTACCGATGAAAATGGCGAAAAGCCAGCAGAAGCTGCTGAAGAGACGGAAGAAATGACCGTGTATGAGGAAGACACATTGTCGGATGAGGGTGCGGTTTATGCATTACACAACGGAGCTGTGGTGGACTGGTCGTGTTTCTTCGCGCTTCTCACACATATATACAATACCCTGAGCCCGCCTTTCCACACGCCAATGATAATAATTGCACAGCCAGTCTGGACGGCCGCAGATCGAGAGAGGTTGACCCAATTCGTGTTCGAGAAGTTCAAGACGCCAGCGTTTTGCCTGATGGACTCTGCCTTGGCTGTCTGCTACGCATACAATACCCCTAATGCTACCGTTGTTGATGTGGGCCATGGCAAGGCAGATGTTACGGCTGTAACAGATTTCATAGTGAGCGAACACGGGCGAGGAATAGCGCTGGAAGGGTGCGGTGGTCAAGCATTGACTGATAGACTACTGGAACTGCTGGGACCCAAAGGATTCACCCGTGAAATGTGTGAAAAATTGAAGAAGAACCCCATCTGCGAAATCCTACCGCCTGGCACTTCGTTACCCAAAGACAATGGCTCTGACTCGGCGAATCAAGAGTCTATCAAACAGGCTTCTGCTCCAGGCATGGGTCCGGATATGCCGAGAGGCCTAGGAAATGGCGAAAAGGAAGATGACGATGGCGTATTAGACGTTGCTAGCATTGTCAGCAGGGGTAATGCCAGTGAATTCATTGCCAAACGAGAAAAGGAAAAAGCTGAAAAGGCAGCATCCCGCAAGGGCCAAGCTGCAGAGTCTGCTGCCGCCAGACAAGCCCGTTTGCCAAACTCAAAGAAAGCAAGGGCAATTTTCCATTATGAAGGGTTAGCAGAACCACAGGCCGGGGCCAATGACCAAACACAGCCTACCAAACAAAAGAAGGAGATTGAAGTAGGGGTGGAGAGACTTATGGCTGCAACACCTCTTGAATCAGGTGCCGACGAGAGGTGTGGCTACAGTATCTTGGAGACTCTTGCAGCTCAGATCCATCATACAATTCTCTCTGTTCCTGATGCCTCAACACGCAGCAGTTTGTGGGACTCTCTCATTATACTCGGAAACGGCAGCAAAGTAAAAGGTTAGTTTCCTATCGTCAATTGCTTGTTCAAATTGTTGTATTCTAACCTTTGTGCCACAGGTTTCCCTCAAGCACTCCTTTCTACTATCACACAGAAATACGTGCTATCCCCGTCCTCAGGGACCATCTTTACCTCAGAAATACCTTCAACCTTCTCAACTCCTCTAGCAACGGGGGCAAACACACCAGCTCAGCCCCAAAACCCAGGTCCTTACCTTCACCCTGCTGCTCATGGTGTGAACCCGCTGCTTGTAGCTGCTACTCACTCAAATACCCCCGCAACGCCTAACAATCTAAACTCTAATGCCGCTCTCTCTGCTGACCCCAACATGCTTGCACACCATAAATCCACAGGCCATTCACAAACACCGACAGGCATCAAACTGCTCAAACCCCCAGAGTATTTCCCCGAGTGGAAAGAACAAGGCTCATCAAGTGCGGCCACTGCAGTCCCCGGCACAAACCCACCAGCAAGTACAGACGCTAGCAATGCGAATGCGGCATCCGGAGTGGCATCCGGTTCTAACAACGTCGGCATGGAAGAGGCAACATTCCTCGGAGCACAGGTGGCTGCCAAGGTAATTTTTATTGTGGACCAGGGGGCTAGTAAGGGTTATCTCAGCCGTGTCGAGTATAATGATGCTGGTCCAACGGCGATTCACAAATATTGTTTGTAAAATGTTCGTCCCCTTTTTATACCTTTTTTTGTCTCCACTGAGCTTGTATCGTAACATTTGATTGGGATAGGAGTGACGGCAGCTACAACATTGAGTAGATTTGTCTTGATCTTGCAGTCTTCATCCATTCTTCTATCACTTTATCTGTTTCCATGGCTGGTGTTTTCCTCGTCCTCCATTTTATATCAGCTTTGAATATCTAGATGCGCTAGTCCAATAGAAGTTAGCGTCTTTTCTTATCGCCCACAACTTTGATAAACTCTAAAAGTTATATTTTTTTTTTTAATTTAGAAAGTTGGACTTTTTTCTAATTATCTGAGTGCAAGAGAAAGTCATCGCTAAAAGGCAAGCATTTCGTGCCCAATAGCTCGAGCCGGACGAGCATTTGGTGCTGAGGGAGAGTTATCTTATTTTTATTTTTTCGTTTTTTAAAAAGAAAAACCCGGAACCCATCCTAGAAGGACAGGGTGCAATTTCATCCTCATTAACAGCCCCTCGGCACGAAGCACCATGCCGAAACCGACCGCGAAGACATCGTCTTCCGAACGGCGACATATACCCCTAGCGGACGAAATAACATCTGCTGGCCATCTAAGAACAAAATCCGGCAGTAAACGGAAGTCAAGGTCCGAAGACGAGACGGAAGATGATCACTATCTCGATTCGAAGTCGTCAAAGAAGATCCTGCAAATTGGACGAGATCTCGCTGAGGAAGATGCGGTAGAGGCCAGGGCTGCTGCAGAGGCTGCTGGTATCGATTTGAAAGCAAAGGCTGCGTTTGATTTTGAGTCCCGACTAGCTGGTGAGGGGTCGGGATATGAAGACGAGGAAGATATTGTCCAATATGATGATGATGCGCAGTGGGAAGATGAAGGAGAAGTCGAGGAAGTGGTACGCTGTTATGAATCTATTAGCCTTGCTATACGCAATTACCATCTATGGCACTTCATTTACTAACGTTTCAATTGCTTGCAGGAAGTTGACCCTAATGACTTGGATATGTTCCACAAATTCCTCCCACGAGACGAAGAGGACCCTATTTTTCACCCACGGGAGGGTGGCATGGAAGGCAACGGCGAAAGTACCAATTTAGCGGATCTCATACTTGAGAAGATCGCAGCACATGAAGCAGGCCAGTCAACAGAACCCCTTGTTCTCGGAGGTGGTGCTCCAGAAGACGCCATTGAGATTCCAGCTAAGGCATTAGAAGTCTACGACAAGTATGTCAATTTACTCGTTATCAACATCTCAGTACAGTACACATGGATACTAATCTGACTATAGAGTCGGCTACCTCCTCTCGCGTTACAAATCTGGCCCACTCCCCAAGCCATTTAAAATTCTACCTACTTTACCATACTGGGACGCCCTACTCTCCGTCACCAAACCGGAGGCGTGGACTCCAAACGCAATTTACGCCGGCACTAGGATATTTATATCCGCAAAACCTCACATTGCCCAACAGTTCATCTCCATGGTGCTCCTAGAACGAGTCCGAGATGATATTAGAGAAACAAAGAAACTGCATGTACACATATACAACGCTTTAAAGAAGGCCTTGTATAAACCAGCATGCTTCTTCAAGGGACTTTTGTTCCCACTCATAGCGAGCGGAACCTGCACACTCCGAGAAGCACAGATTGTATCCAGTGTGATAACGCGAGTGTCTATACCCGTCCTTCACTCCGCCGCTGCACTCCTCCGGTTATGCGAGATATCAGCGGAACAAACCATATCCTCTTTCAATGCAGAGGGCACGGGTGCTACAAACATGTTCATCCGTGTATTCCTAGATAAGAAATATGCACTGCCATATAAAGTCATTGATGCCTTGGTATTCCATTTCCTCCGCTTCCGTGCTACGAAACCCGATGAGAATGGCGATGCAAATATGAATGGGACAGGATCATACTCAGCCGCTGCTGCAAGAGACTATAAGCTTCCCGTCCTATGGCACCAATCGCTTCTTGCATTTGCCCAGCGTTATCGTAACGATATCACGGAGGACCAGCGTGAGGCGCTACTTGATCTTTTGCTGTCAAACGGGCATAAAGATATTGGCCCAGAGGTACGGAGGGAGCTGCTGGCCGGAAGAGGAAGAGGAGTCGTCGTACCCGAAGCTGTTGAAAACAACGGAGGCGATGATACTATGGATATGACGATATAGTCAAGATAGAGGCGGGTAAAGGTCTCGTCTGACGTCTTTAACGGTGGCATATTATGTCGTATTTTGGACCGAAATATACCAATGATATTTTTTTGCATCTGGAATTCCGCTGTATCCCTTTATATTATAACAGGTTTCTACTTATAATACAGCATTAAGCTCATTCTATGGCTTGGCTCATCGCACTTGGTGTATCTGGTGCTCCGTCTATGGTCACACTCGTGGGGGCGCTTGCAATGCTGGCCTCACGTAGGTTTGAAGGCGCTGGTGTAGAAGCATTCGTGCCGCCAGCTGCGTGCGCAGCTGGTAATTCTAATTTCCAGCCAGTACAGAATGCATCCACTTCATCGACGATATCAGCTAGTATATCCTCGCAGATTTGGTCGTTAAATCTATCACCAAAGGGCTTCACGTTTGGAAATTCGTCGGTAGGGGGCCCAATGAACCAAGGTGCCTCGAATCGACAATCTACTGCTCCTCCATTATGGCAGCTAACAGTAGGGTAATAGCCAATCATGCCGTCATCAGCATTCTCTCGCTCGCCTATTCCCAAGTTGTTGCTTGCTTGTGCAAACCGAGAAGCCGGTGGAAGGAAAGCATATAAATTTTGAAAGGGAGTTCCCATTTTAACCCCATTCTTAAAGATCGTAATGCTGGAGCCAGGAAGTGTTCGAAGGGAGGCATCTTCTGCATTTCCTGGGGAAGGAGGCCCGTAAGTAGGAGTCTCTTTGAGGTTAAATGCATAGTCTCGGAGATGTTTCGAAGCAAAGACGTGGCTCTGTTGATACATAAAATCGGACTTTAGATGGAATGGAATTCGATCCCGGATGAAATTGATCGGTGCCGGTTGGGAGGTTGGATGATCTACATCCATTTCATCCCCTTCAGCAGGCGGTTCGTACGTCCCTTCAACGACCTTCTTGTGCAGTTCAAGCGGTGGCAGGGTAATCAACATGCCAATCACATCACCTTCACAGATGGATTCGTCCTTGGGGAAAAAGTACTCGCATCTCATTCTGTTAACAACCTCGCCATTAACGTCACGAATACCATAACCGTAGCAGTCAACGCCGACATTCACATCAAGGTCGGCTTCACGGCGCGCAAATCCAAGTCGTATATTCCCATGAGGTGATGGCCCCGACTGTGAACCTCGGGTCACTCCGCTTACCACCTTGGCTTCATAATAGTATGTTCCCTCTCGTGCGCAGACATTTGCTCGAGCTGAATGCCATGGGTCACTGGTGCTTACTCCTCGGGCATCTTCTGTGAAAGTGATACAGGCAGGAGAGTCTTCGAAGCTGAATCGTGAATGGTAAGGCGGTACATCGGTTTGTCGATATTTAATGTGTGGGAAACCTGGGTCTTCAATTGCATAGGTATATCTAAAACCGTTTCTATTGCTTACTCTAGATCGTTATGTTAGCTATATGAACCGCCACTACTACTAAAGCTCAATACATACTTGTCCGCAATATCGTAGAATTTATACTCCTGACCGATTATCTCGGATTTTTTTGTACAAGACAAGTTCATCTGGCGTGGTTTTGGGTGTAGCACATCCGCAGGACGAGGGTCGGCGACTGGTATGGGCATGAGCATGGGTAGCTCTAACGACGGAATAGCCGAACTGGAGGACGAAGCGGTTGTTTTCCTCTCATAACCTCCATCACCGGTATCCTGGCGCTTAGTGTCATGTCTCTTCTTATGCTCACGTTTCGTCCTCTTTGCTTTCTCCCTTGCCTTCTCGCCGCCGGTGGTCATCTTGGATTGTGAGGTTGCGGATCCGTGGGCGATTTAGGGTTGAACCTGGAGGGTGAGTAGGAGGGCACTATCATTCCAAAATAGCGCGACCAGCATCGTTTCGTCAATTCCGACCCTTGAGCGTTGTCTGGGCGGAGCAATTGCTTTCTGCGTCTTGATATCAATCAGCGCTGCGAGGGTTCAGTTCAGTGGAAGCTGGTAAATGCATCACGTGATGTGTGTTTGACGGTAACAATACTGAAGGATAAGAAGCTACAATAATCAATATCTTACAGGTATATATTCGCAATGTACAAAAGGTGGATGAGAGTACAGTCTCACGTCTTGCCTATCTCTTCCAGCATCTTCCCCACCTCTAGGACCATACTATCGTCTCCAAACTGGCCAATGACTTGTACCCCTGCATGGCGTGGAACACTTTGACTCTTAGATTCTTCTCCATCGAAGAGTATCGGAACACTCAATGCAGGAAGGCCTGCAAGGCTGCATGGTACTGTGAAAACATCGTTTGTGTACGCATCAATAGGTGAGGATTTTTTCAATGCTTTTATAGCGGGTGCAGTTGAAGGGGCTGTAGGGCAGATGATCACATCAATCTTTGCATTTCCCCCAGCGTCCTCGTTATCGGCAAGGTCTCGTGATCCCGGGGTCGTTGATGCTACGTGTAGAAGCGGGTGCGGAAGTCGAAATACGGAGTTAAAGTCGGCCTGAACCAATCTCCGGATCTTCTGCGCTTGAATGAAGTAATTGTCAATTTTATCTGCGCTGAGAGAGAACGTTCCCAGCAGTATCCGTCGCCGGACTTCAGCTCCGAACCCTTGTCCACGCGTGTTTGAGTAAAGATAGTCCCCTGCATTGTCCGCAGATTCAATGTCCCTGGTGCCGTAACGAACACCGTCGTACTTTGCTAGGTTCGACGAGGCCTCCGCTGGGGCCAAGACATAGTATGCAGATAAAGCTTGTTTGGTGGCCGGAAGCGTGATAGGATGAATGCTATGTCCTTTGGACTCGAGGTATTGGAGTGCTATCTGCCATGCAGATCGGATCTCAGAACTCAGTTCGTGTATATTGTACTCAAGAGGGACTCCAATTCGCAATCGAGTGGGTTGTGCTGATGCCTCCCTGACAGCAGCCAGGATGCGTGACCGACTCGTTGGTGAAATGCTGGTTGGATCACGGCTATCATAACGGTTTACCACATCTATTATACGAATATTAGTTATAGGTAGTGGCTGCATGGTGAAACATTCCTGCTTACCAAATATGTCATGGATAGTGGATGTGTCTTTCGCAAAAATTCCAACAGTATCGAGGGAGTTCGCGTACGCCACAACTCCCCATCTTGATATCAAGCCATACGAAGGTTTAAACCCAAAGACACCCGTATATGCCGCCGGAAGACGCACTGAGCCGCCTGTATCGGTTCCCAATGCCCTGCTCAAGTTAGCACTACACTGCGTATAGCTTGGAATGTGACATACGCATGGCATTGGCCGGTAGCAACTGCAACTGCACTGCCTCCGGAGCTTCCACCAGCCGAATGAAACTCCTCTCCTCCTCCCTTGTTATTTTTCACGGGACCGAAGTGGGAATGTATGGAGTGAGAGCTACAAGAGTGATAACATTCAGCATCCGAACGACCCTCCCATAGCTAGTCGCGGGAAAAGGCAGCCTACCCCATGCCAAACTCATCCAAGTTCGTCTTCCCGGCCACAATAGCGCCTGCATTCTCTAATAAATCAACAACGGTCGCGTTGAAAGGGCTCGTAAAATCTTGTAGAGTCGCAGATCCGCAGGTGGTTGGTAGCTCGCTGGTGCAGATGTTATCTTTCACGCCTACGAGTTTACCATCCAACGGCGATATAGCTACATCTATCGATTGCTCAATCGAGATTAGCCATGAAGGAGCTATATAAGTAGACTGATGGGTATATTTTACCTTTCCCACGGCGGTGGTCCGCAGCTTGAGCTCGCTCTCTCCATGTCGCGGAGCGCTCTAATGGAGTGATGAAAGCATTCAGGCTAGCAAATGTCTTCTGATTAAGTAGACATTTCTCTGCCTCGCGCAAGAAGGACATTTATCCTTCTCTTTCAAAACCAACTATAAATTGTCGGATGTTTGCAATGTTGAATTAGAGATGGAAATAATAGTTCAATCATGAGATAAGGTCCCGTCGGAGATCTGTCACGTGACGATCCCTGCTGGGCCCAAGAGCTGGATCTTAGTCGCGTAGAAGAAACAAAGTAGGAGATTGAACACTGTGATATCGAATGGACCCAAGGAATAATATATATAATGTCGCAAAACCCAACTACCACGGATATCTAGCGCCGCTTCAAATGAAGGTGACGAGCCTCATGTTCATGCCCCAACTCCAAACCGATTATGACAAGCGAAAACGAAATAGGAAATGAAAATGGAACCAGAGAAAAGGAAACAGGCAGCATATGTCTGTAGTCATCCAACATTAAGGGCTTCAGAAAGAAGGACAACGACATCATCCTCTCAATGCCCTCAGTCTGCCCGCCAGGCCGTCCTCAAACTCCGCCTCTTTCTGTTTGTTGGCCACAGTAAGCTCCTCGCGTGGAGCGGTATTCTCCTCCAAGCCCTGGCGTAAATCGACCCCAGCACTATCCGCGAGTCGCTCCATGAGACGATCGACATCTTCATCTCCCTCAGCGCCATATTCTTGCATCTGGACATCCTTGGAAACTCCCTCCAAGGCAGACCCAGCCAATTTAAAGTCTTCTGACCGGGAGACGAACTGGTTGGCAACAGCGAGCGTGCGTTCAAGATTTATACTCCTTGACGCTGAGTCAAGCGCCTTGGATGCTTTCATGAGGGATCGTGTAGAGTCGCGGGTACTTTTGGCGGCGGAGAGATCGCTGTATATCACGTCTGCCTCTGCTGATTTTGAAAGCAGGGTAACTGACCGGCGTTTTTCGCGGATTGCTGAGCTGGCGTGGATGCGGGAGATTTGGAACTGTCCTTTCTTCATGGCTTTGATGGCCTTGTCTTCCTGTGCGCGGGCGGAAGCTTCGGCCTTGGTTGCTTGTTTCCGTAGCTGGTTACCGTTGACCTAGTTATGTCATTAGTTTTGCACCGAGTGAGGATAGTATCCTGAAAAGTAAGACTTGGAGTGGATATACCTTTACTTCGGCCATGGCCTCAAGGAGGGGGTCTCGCATACCCATAGTGGCTATAGATCTAACACCGAGGAGGATGCGCTGGTAGCCAAAAAGAATATAAGTTGGCGTGCGGCAGACGAAGGCTATGCCATGTAAAGCACTCTGAAAACAGCACTCTATCGTATGATATTGGGTATCTCTATGTCATCAGCGTCATCGCCGTATGCCTGAATTTCGACGACGAAGATGTTACAGCGCCAAGCCCCCAACTGACTTAATCATCACGTGGCAGATCTGTCATGTGATTTTACTGCGGAGCCTCAACGGAACTTATTTATTCCGTAACCTAACGCCCCCGCTCGGGCCACGGGGATCTTCCGTAGAACCTTGATTGAAGCTTGTCAACATCAGGGGTTTTTCATATACTTAGACAGGCACACAATTGATACAGAGGTTCCAACGACGGTGAAAAGGAGCCTATGTCAGGCAAATTTGATACTCAGATGCCTGCGACCACATATAGATACCCACCTAGTCCCCGCAGGAACGTACCCTGATGTCCATGAGAGACTCCCCGGCTGTCTCGTATCAATCAATCCATCAAGTCATTTCCTAAATCATAACACTGCCTAGACGACATGCTTCTATGCTCAGGAAGAATCAATTCAGGCATGTTAGCCGATATTCATTCAAATTTATTTTAAAAAGGCCATGAAGTATCGCGACCGAGGCTACTATCCGCCAGGGACTGTCGGGCAGCTGTAAAACTAGCCATACCCAAAGTTATGTGTTTTGTGATTCAGTATATATTATCACAAGCGGGTAACATCCACTCTTGACCTCTACTTTTTCAAGAGGTTGTTGTGATAGTGCAGCGTCTAGCCTGCTGGCTCCCAATTCTTGCCACGCCGGATAGAAGGCTTCCTGGGAGGGCTGTGTATATAAAGGGGGAACACATCCACAGGTATTGAGAGTATTTTCCAAGTCAAGACAATCTCCTACAATTCTCCCCTTCATCAAGAACAAGATCAAGATCAACATGAAGTTCTCCATTTTCTCCGCGGCTTCTCTTCTGGCCACCGCTGCCCTGGCAGGACGTGCCTGGGAAGAGCATCACGGTCTCACCTTTGATTCATTCAAGAGCACCTTCAACAAGCTGACCAAAGACGGCTACCGTCCCATATATCTCACTGGCGATGCTGCACCGAATGGTGACGCTCGATACAACGGCATTTTCAAAACGCACCTCTTCGATGGGATAGGCTGGACAGCCCAGTATGGCTACGAGCCTGGAAAATTCGGCCAAACCGTCAAAGATCTGAAGAATAAAGGATACTTTCCCATGCATGTTCAGGGATATAACGTTGGCAAGGACCCAACTGCAGGCCACCAGAGACGGTTCAATGGCATTTGGCATAGACACATTGACGGGAGGAGAGTCCCTTGGGAATTGTTGGTGGACGCAACAAAAAACCAGGTGATGGAGGCTTTCGGCCAGTTTCCACCAAAAGGATATCGTCTTGTTAGTGTGAGCGGGTATGGCCTCGGATCTGAGCAGCGCTTCACCGCAGCGTTTCAGAAAACCCCTGGTCCGGAATGGAAGGCGACTATTGGTATGGGCAGGGAAGAATTCCAGAAGAGAACGGAAGAGTTGAGGAAGCAAGGCTTTTTTCCGGCGGATCTCAGCGTGTATAACATCAAAGGGTCAGTGTTCTTTTCTGCCATCTGGCAGAGGGAGGACGGCAAGTCCGACAAGTCAATGGCGAAGTTCGGATTGTCGGCAAAAGAGTTGGCAGAGTGGTTCAGGCATTGGAAAGAAAAGGGGTACGAGCCAATGACTGTGTCTGGGTATCTCGAAAACAGCTCTCTGAAGTATGCTGCCATCATCGGCAAGCCATAACGATACAGTTGACCTAATTGTTAATTTCTAATACTTAATTAATTCAATGATATTCATGGTTGACTACTCCTACTGAATACGACAATCTGAACTCCGTATAATCTTGATAGAGATGGCTAGTGAAGACAAGGAAGAAAATGTAGGTGAGGACTGCTGTTTGTTTTCTGGTCCTTTTTACCAGCCTTTCGTCCATTTAACTGGCGGGGCCTGAGTCCACTGCTTGAGGCTACCACATAAATAGGGGGTAATATGTGGAAGCAACCTCACCACGAGCCAAACCCCGGTCGGATATCGCCGACATTCTTCTTCTTCTTCCTATTACAGGCTCAATGCCAGCGAGATCCGAGGTCTCAACGGACGAGAGGGTGTATATCTTCTCTGATATCAGGTACTGGACCTGAGGTGAGTTCTAATTCATTAGTCTCAGTCCAACTTTCTGAGCGGGTAACTAGTCAATCAGATAAAGGGGCGAAATGAGTATGTATGTGACGGTTCTTTGACCATTTTTTAATACAGAACTGAAGATCAGCTACAAAAGGTAAAGATGATCGGAGTAATTGTGGATGTATTGAACCTAATCCTAAAATCTGTAGCTATGACCAACCTAACTAGTACTCCTTGCACCCCGAACGCCGTGACCTTGACCGCGAAGAGAGTGAGCCTCGCTTCGTCGATACTTGTTTGTTGACTCCAATAACCTTCCTTGGCTGGTCTCTAAGTGATCTGCCGCTGTTTTTCCCTCTAGATGATGATGCCGATAACAATGCTGCTTCCGTCTTCTCTGCCCGATCAATCGCAAAAAGGATTGTGACCAGTGACTCCCATCGTTGCCGAGACTCCAGCTGAACGATCGACTGACCTGACCGAGAAGATCCGAGCATTGCACTCTCACTGAGCACCAGCTGCAATTCCCTGCTCGTCGCATCTCTCAAGGGACGCGCCAAAGCTGGGCTGCAAGCCAGAAGCCGGGAGAGGAGTCTGCTCCGGAAAACCGATCGAGTCGTCGAGTTTCTGCTGGAGTTGTTGTTGTTGTTGTTGGTTGTCCTCGTCGGGACCGAGATCAACCAGAGAATCAAAGGCAAAAGGGCCGAGATCTGAGTCGGGGAGAAGTTCAAGGGAGAACCCGTCTTCAAGGAATGAAAGATCAGGCTCGCTGGATGAATCAGCGTCGAATAAGCGGCTGAGGTCAGCGTCTGATAGAGGGGGAGGGTGAACATGATCATGTTCACGAAGGAGAGGTATGTTGAGGTGGCTGAGGTCGAGATCATCCAAGGCCGGGCCTCCGATTGACACTGCAGGTCACACAACACCGCTGCAGGATGTTGTGCCAAATCGGAGGGGGTGGCGGAGGAGTGATCCAAGTCAGCCGGTGAGAGGGTGGTCGACGACGTCGAGCTTATATTGTTTGAGGTGGTTGTTGTTGTAGTAGTAGTTGTTGTAGTACTTGGGTCTGGGTTGATGGTGAATGGAATGCTGTCTATATTGTCGAGCAGGTCGTTTTCCTGCTTGAACAGAACGGGAGCCAAAGTAGGAGATGTCGAAGGGGCGAGGGTGGCCGAGATACTGGACGTGCTGGCTGAGGCTGAAGCAGAGGCAGGGCTGCCTGGATTGGACTTGGAGGTCTGTATCTCAGAGGCCAGTTTTGCCACCTGCTGGCTGAGCCGGTTGTTCTCGGCCTCCATCTGCGAGAGACGGCGGAGGAGGAACTCGTTCTGCTGCTCGATCTTGAGTTTCTCGCCCTCGAGCTTCTCTATCTCGAGCCTCTTGCGCTCCCGGGAGATCTGGGCGGCGGCACGGTTGCGTAGCACCCGTTCTATCCGCCGCTGTTCCTTTTCATCTTCCGTCTTTGCTCGTTTTCTGCGTCAAGTTAGTAATTGCTATTTGACCAATAAAAGAAAAGAAAAAAAAAAAAAAAGTGGCAGAGACATACCTTGGAGGGAGGTTGGTCTTGGGCGTAGGCAGCTCCTGGCCCCAGGACTTGCGCTTCTTGACTGGCTTCTTCTCCGCCGGCTTGGGGGTGTCGACCTTGGGCAGGCCCTCGGGGACGAGATCCTCGAATTTGAGCGTGGTGTCAGCCGGCGAGACGGTCAGACGGGGGATCTCAGCCCCGGGAGAGGGAGACATCGAGTCCATGGAGAAGGTCTCGACGGCAAACGTTGACTCCGTCATGGTGTGGCTGTCTTCTGTCAAACGGCGTGTGTATGGTGGTGGTTGATGTGGTTGTTTGCTGGATACAGTGCAGAGACTGTCAGAGAGCAAGCATGGTGGACGGACGGCTGCCTGGGAGGCTTGATGTCCCAGCCGGCGCAGTCGACGTAGTTGATGCCAGGCTGTCTTCTTCGCTCTGTTTCTTCGCCTCCGTCAAAGTCGCTGGGCTGGAGGTTTCGAACGATCAAAGGCGAGAGGGGAGACACCGCCTTTATAAAGAGGCCACCGTGGCAGAAAAAGGGCGTGACTAAGCAGATGAGTCAGCGTCACGCTTGCCGATTGGGGCTAGCTCTGGATGACTCATCATGCACGTGCGTTTCACTAAAAAGGGGGCTGCTTAGTCATCAAGCGAGCTGCGGGTCAAAGGAAGAAGAGAGAAACATCCAAGACGACGACAAGACAAAGACAAGACGACAAGACAGAGACACAAGAAGACGCACAGGAATACAAGAAAGTGACGAGTAAGATGAGCGAGACGATGGTCGTGCGACGGCGGCGAGGAGGATGGGGAGGACGCAGAAGGACGAGGAGAGATGAGAGGTCTCACCGGCGCTGATCAGGCCCGGCGGAGTAACTTGTTAGCAGCAGGGCGCGGTTGTCTTACTTTGCCGCTGGCTCCAAATCCCTCTCCAGCGCCAGCGCTCTTATCAAACGAAAAGGGCCCCTACGGAGTACATACGCGCACCACTGTGGCACCGAGCACGGCGTACCCTCGTCAACGTGCGTTGTACGCTGGCCAGTTGGGTGGATAGAGTCGGCGCAAGGGGGTTTAACCTCTCGCTTTTCGCCGTTTGTTGGAGTAAGTTCGTTAGTGAGCTGGTTGCGGTTGCGGAGGATTGGGGACTTGGATCAGGGGCGAGTCCAGATCCAGGTCCAACTTCTCGCTGCCAGGTTTGCGTTCCAGGGGCGCCGTTGACAAAGAGAGGCTGACTCGGTCGAAGTACTCCATACTCTGTGGCCACCGGTGACCCATCGAGCCAGAGACCGTTTTGTCTTCAGCTGGGGCGAGCTACCTAGACAGCCAACCACGCCATCTCATATGTGCGGGTTAGACTGCGCCCTTCTCGCAAGCCGACTTTTCAGCCTCCAGTCCATTGTGGTTTTCAGAGACATATCAGTGCATATATTGCCTTGAGGATATTCCGTACAACTCAGTAGGATGCCGGTGTAAAGTCCTCTATCACTGCTTCGCCCCCATTAAGGTCACTTCTACCGATCATGGTTATCAAATTATTAAATGCAGTCAGAACCACCCCTGTACCAGCGACAATCCCACTCCAACGCCCCCAGGGTCCTCCTGGTACAAATGGTGTATCTGTCCGGGCAGATGGGGGCTATGGAGCACCATTTCCGGAGTTATGGATCAGTCCAGTTAACTAGCAGCAGTCAGATGTTGGCCTTGGAATTTTGTGTTCAAGAATAATACCAGTTCCAGGCCGTAGTATCACTGATCATTGCCGCTCACGCTGACGTCTTTGGACCCCATCTGTGGCCGGACAATTGCACCCTAGACTACCTGAGATCATACTCTCGCTTCGAAGCTTTTATCGAAGCCGGTTCTTTCAACGCGGTACCCATTTCACCATGCTGGCAGAGAATGTAGAACGGTTGGTGGATGCATGTCTTTTTATGTGAAGCTTTAAATGTCCAAGTGGCATTTACAACGTGAAGGCAGCAAATTTAGAGAGCCGAGTGCGCTCAGTAGTGGCTGTTACAAGCTACCTATGGGACAGGACTCAGGGCTGCCTCCCTTGGTAGACAACGGCGCCTGGGGTTAATCGGACAGTCAGTTACCCTACCTGGATGGACTAACTCGGCAGCTAGCTTTGCTGCTTCATGGTCTTCTCTCTGTAAATCATTAATGAGCGCTAACATAGATATGCATTGCGATGGTGGTAGTGAAATGCCCAAGTAGCTGGCGAGATACTTTTTATAAATATGCAGACCCAAGTCGTCTTTCACTATTTCTTGCTACGAATATCAATCACTCACCACCATGCTACATATCTCCTCGCCTATTTCCTGATCTCCTTGATTTTATATCCCGATTACCACACAGTAATTATGTCTAAAGTTCTCAAGCAGTTTGAGGAAGCCCTTTTGAAGGGGACTACTTAAAAGCCTTATCGGGGTGACCACCGCAGGAAGCCGTAGTTATCGCACCACCGAAAGCTAAGGACAACGACGAGAAATACCAACTTCGACTTGACGCCGGCGCATCAATAAACGGCATGAAGAACGTTTACCTGAAACAATAACCATATTCCCAAGTTCTTCTTTTCCTCTATGCCTCGGCCAGCTATCTGAGTGATGCGATTTCACATCTCCTCGCTTTGGCGCCGGACAGGTACCCCCGGAACGCCTGCAAACCGGAACCTACACATCTCATGTCGAGGTATGGCATGACCACCATGTTCAAAATGCTCAAACTAAGCTTCTATTTAGGCAAACCGATAACTGAAGACAAACTCTTTGAGTATACAAACGGAGGTTTTTTGGTTAATGAAAAGTCTCAATTCGATCGGCGCTATGTCAAATTCAACCTGAATGCTCTCTGCGGTCTTGCAGCCACAGCTGGGGGCCAGCCTTCCCCAGTTAAAGCAGTTGAGAAGATGGAGGGCGGTTTCAGCAAGGCTCTTCTGATGGAAAAAGAAAATGGAGTGGAGATTGTCACTAAAGTTGCTTGTCGAAATGCTGGGCCCGCAGTTTATACCACCGAGTCGGAGGTTGCTATATTGAAATATGGTAAGTGAGGGACTTCATATTTTCGTTGACTACTTTATTTATGTGCTTATAGCAATATAGTGAAACAGCAAACAAGTATTCCAGTTCCCGAAGTATATACATGGTCTTCTGACCCTACCAACCCTATTGGGGCAGAATATATCATTATGGAGAAAGCAGCCGGTGTTCCCCTTTTCAAGATATGGGGGGAGATCTCCCTCTCAGATAAACTAGAGCTTGTTAAAAGACTTACGGCATTTGAACGCGAACTTTGTTCGTTACAGTTACCTGCATATGGAAGCTTGTATCTACGGAGCTTCGGTGGGGGTCTTCCTAACTTTAAGCCTCTAGGTATAGACGGTGAAAGTTAGAGTTGGTTATAACTTTGGCTGCAGATAATTTGATTATAATGAGCAACTATATACCCGTACCCCCCCCTTATAATTAAGTTATCTAGTCTCTTAATAAATACTTGGTTATACTTATAGTTAATATTAGTATAAATAAGCTACTCTAATTAATTAATATATATATAATTAGTTATATAAGGCTAGCCTACTTAATTTTATTAAGCTCCTTTTATATTTTATATACTATATATCTTAAGCTTAATTACTTATTCTAAATACTATAAAGAGATATAAATTATATTTAGAGTACTATATATATGGCCTATATAGCTAGAATAAAGGTAGAGGGTAGGATATAGTTACTAAAGTAAAATAAATTAATAAAAATATATACCTACCTAAAGAAAAAGAGAGAGAGAGACTTAGTATAGTATAATTACTATATTAGTAGAAGAGCTATCTTTACTAATAAAATTAATAAGCTAGCTTTAGCTACCTATTAAGTTAACTACCTAGCTCTTATTAGGGTTATTATTTAGAACTATAACTCCTTCTTATTTAGTCTACTAATTATTCTATATAGAGTCGTAGGAGGTATAATTATACTATTTATAATTATTATATACTTTAATAAAGTATCTAGGTAACTATACGTACTCTATAAAGGGTTTAAAATTTATAGTTCTTTAGTAAACTATATAGATATATAGTTTAGCTCTTTCTCTAAACTAAATTAGTAGATTATTAATATATAAGGGCTAATATAAGTATATTTAATAAAGTTCTATACTACTAAGGATATAGTAAATATTTTAGTTTAAGAGAGTTAATACCTCTTAATCTATTATATTATATATAAAGAAGACTAGTTACTAGTTATTAACTTTAAGAAGACTAGATATTACTATTATTTAGGTAATTTAGAGATTATATAGAATAAGAGCTCTATATCTAAATTATATATTAGTATACCCTATATATATATAGCCTCTTAATAGCTTATATATTACTACTACTATTATTATTACTATTATTATTACTTTTACTACTATTAAAAGATCTATTATTCTACTACTTATTAATATATTTTTACTAATATATATAGCTTAAACTATAGGGATAAGATAACTTTATACTTATATTTTTATAGTTAGAGTAGAGAGAGAGAATAAATAGAGAGATATTAATTTTATTTAAACTGTATACCTATTATATTAGCTATATATAGATAGATATAATTAATTTCTCTCTATATTTTATATTTATCTAAATATATAATATTACTATAATATATATAAGGCTAGTAATAGTAGAATATAGAGAGAATAGTAAGGGAAAAGGGATAAAAGAAGGGAGAGAAAATGTATATAGTATAATATACTTTAAAGAAATACTAGTCTTCTATCTAAAATCTTAAGTTAGTAGAGTAGAATATTAGAATAAAGACTCCTTATATATATCTAGAAGTCTAAAGAAGGTAGAATATCGAGATAGTATAAGGAGAAGAGGGAGGGAGAGATATAGATAGCTAGAGATATACTAAAAGCGAAGTCTATACTTCTATCTAAATTCTTAAATTAGTAAAATATTAAAATAAGGACTCTCTATATATATTTAGGGTACTAAAACTACTAGAATTAGCTATAAGCTACCCCTAGATAATAAAATATATATAAAAATAATAGAATAGAGCTAAAAAGAATAACTTACCGAACGTAGTTATAGACTAAATTAAAAAAGAGAAGAAGAAAGAGAGAATATAAAAAATATAGTGTAGGAGTTAATATTAAAGGTATAGTAGATATATATAGTCTAATTTAATTAAGAAGTCCTTAATAATATAACTAAATAGCTATAGATAAGAGATATTTTAGTAATTATAAATAGTATAAAGAAGAGTAGTATATTATTCTATATAGTATCTATCTATCTTAAGCTTCTATCTATAATAATTAAACTCTATATACCTATATATTAGTAGAGAAGTAATTATTATTATTATTCTTTATTATACTCCTATATAGTCAAAGACTATAAGGAGTTCTATATTTAATAAATATAGAAGAGGATAAGAAATCAAAAGTTGGCCTCCTAAAGCTTTAGAATTTGGGAAGAGTGCAATTTGGTAATAGTTTAATATAGATAAATCACTAATTTAATTTAAGTTAATTAAGCTCTTTTATAGAGACTTAATTAGAATAATTATATATATATATATATATATATATATTTTTTTTTTTTTTTTTTTTTTTTTTTGGTTCGTGGTACTAGGGTGCTATGGTATCGGTACCACCAGTTCTATTTAAATAAGGGGGTACTACTATTATTTGAAGGCCTTAATGGGGTCTAATAATAGCGAGGTATATACTAATTAACTTAAAATTATCTATAGAATATACCTAGTAGCTTCTTGGAGTTATTTAGAGTACTTCTAAAAAAGTTATATAATAGTATTTAATCTATAGTACCGATATTACTAGTTCTATTTAGATAGGGAGGTGCTACTATTATTTAAAGGCCTTAATAGGGTCTAGCGATAGTAAGATATATATTAATTAACTTAAAATTATCTATAGAGTATACCTAGTAGTTCTCTAAAGTCGTTTAGAGTACTTCTAAAAAAGTTATATAATAGTACCTAGTCTATAGTATTAGGGTGCTGTAGTACTAGTACTACTAGTTCTATTTAAGGTACTACTATTAGTTAAAGACCTTAACGGGGTCTAGTAATAGCGAGATATATACTAATTAGCTCGAAATTATCTATAGAATATACCTAGTGGTTCCTTAGAGTTGTTTGGAGTACTTTTAAAAAAATTATATAATAGTATCTAGTCTATAGTATTAGGGTACCGTAGTACTAATACTATCGATTCTATTTAGATAGGGGGGTGCTACTATTATTTAAAGGCCTTAACGGGGTCTAGCGATAGTAAAGTATATATTAATTAGTTTAAAATTATCTATAGAATATACTTAGTAGTTCTCTAGAGTTATTTAAAGTACTTCTAAAAAAATTATATAATAGTATCTGATCCGTGGTACTAGGGTGCTGTAGTATTAGTACCACTAATTCTATTTAAGGTACTACTATTAGTTAAAGGCCTTAATAGAATTTAGTAATGGCGAGGTATATATTAATAAATATAAAATTATCTATAGAATATATTTAGTAGTTCCTCGGAGTTATTTAAAGTACTTCTAAAAAAGTTATATAATAGTACCTGATCCGTAGTACTAGGGTACTATAATATTGGTACTACCGATTCTATTTAGATAGGGGGGTACTATTTATTATTTAAAGGCCTTAATAGAGTCTAGTAATAGTAAGGTATATATTAATTAACTCGCAATTATTTATAGAATATACCTAACGATCTCTCGGAGTTGTTTAGAATACTTCTAAAAAAGTTATATAATAGTATCTAGTTTGTGGTACTAGGGTGCTATAGTACTAGGGTGCTGTGGCACTGGTGCTATCGGTTTTATTTAGGGTACCACTATTATTTGAAGGCTTTAACAGGGTCTAGTAATAGCAAGGTATATATTAATTAACTCGAAATTGTTTATAGAATATATCTAGTGATTCCCCGGAGTTATTTAAAGCACTTCTAAAAAAGTTGTATAATAGCACCTGGTTCGTGGCACCAGGGTAGTAGAGAAGTAAGTATATAGTTAGAAAAAGGGGCTAGAATAGTAGAGGATATACTTTATACTAGGCCTACTTAATTATTATTATCTACCTCCCTTAATCTTCTTAAAATAGTTAATTAAGGTATATAGTAAGAGGCTATTCCTTATTTATATAGTATTAAGCTCCTTAATAATAAGGAATAGGCTCTTCTTCTCTATATTCTACTTATATATAATTTTATTAATTATAATTTTTCTATAGAAGTATATTATATTCTTAGTAGGCCTAGATTAGTACTAAATAGGGCTATATATCTCCTCTAGACTTTAAATAAAAGGTCTACTATTAAGCCCCTCTATCTACTTACACTAGAGGTTCTAGATAGTCCCTACTATATAAGATTAAATATAGTCTAATAGGGGAGAAGGAGGAGGGAGAGGAGGGAGAGTAGAGCTAAAGGGGAGAGTACCGGGAGCATATATAGTAGTAGTAAAAAAAAGAGGAGAGAGAGGAGGAGGGGGGCTAGTAGCTAGAGAGGTATCCCTATATAGGCCTTTAGAGGCTACTACTACTATAGCTATAGCTTCTACTAAAGTAGTAGAGGAACTAGTAGAGATATTACTTATATTCTACTAAGAATAGCCTAAAGTATTAGTCTATATAGTAAAGGATACTATATCTCCTATAATATCCTTAATATTCTTATTAATTATCTATAGAAAAGAATTACTTCTCTCCTCTAAGACCTTAAGTAACTATATAAGGGACTACTCTATAGTATTTAACTATATAGTAATAATAGGGACTATATAGCG